CCTTATTTTTGAAGATCTAATTACAATGGTTATAATAACGAAGGCCATGGGATAATGTATTAAAATCCCCGCTCCGAGTTAATTTTTAATTATTTATAATTAGGGTTTTTGTAATACCCCCTAATTTCGGAACACGGGTTGATCAAGTCCGCGCACAAAATCAGGGGATATCAAACCAATTAAAGTATTTAAACAAGCACGGATTACAAAATGAAATAAAGAATAAAATAAAACGCTGAAGAAATCCAATTAATAGTAAATCCATTAATAACTTCCAAATGGTTACAACTCGGGAATCCCGTAACTCAAGGACCCCTTAACCAAAAGTTACTATTTAGAATTTCAACCAATTAAGTACTAATATCAACTGAAACAAAACTAATATCCTACTTTTAAGTAAATAGAAGGAATGGATAAGTCCTCCAGCTGCGGATCCTCAACCTTGAGACTTGACCTTCTACAACCTGAAAAATAAATCGCGGGTTAAACCCTACGAGCAAGTTCTTTCTACCAAGCCTCTGAAAACCAATAAACAGATCATCTTTACCAAAACCATCCCTAATTAAGCTTTAACTTTAATATACGATGCTACAAATATATATAAATAGTGCAAGAATCCTACCAGGTAATAGGGCATTAAATTGTCAAAACCACTCACCAATAATTAATTATTAGTCATACCTAGACCAAGCCCCCCCTTTTATAATTTTCTCATAAAGTAAACCCCACTCACCTTAACTCCATCCTAAACAGTAATTTAGTCATCTACACATATAGCAATTTAAATATGCACCGGCAAATCAACCATACCATTTATAAATATATTTATTTATATACTAGCAATTCAACCATGCTTCCTTCAATATATTTACTTTTACAATTAATTAGCAATTCAACCATGCTTCCCATATATGAAATTTATTCATAACCAATAAGGCAGTATATCAAAGTCTTTGGCAACTCATCCATGCCTACAATTCAACCATGTATTAATTTTAAACTTAACTCTAGGTATAATTATACATAGACTTCACATGCATATAGTAAGCATGTCCTTAATTTAATAACCGTGTATCTATTACGATTTTAAATCAACCATACCATACACGAATAAAGTCATACCAAACAAGATTTATAATATTTAATAATCTTAAATAATATATATATACACATATATTTTGTAATATATATATATGTGTGTATCATACATTTTATACCAATCGTTGACTATTTAAAATCATATCTACATATATATACACATATATACACCTCCTTTCAATGCAAAAATATTTAATTAATTATATTTATACCACTAAATGCTACTAGGTATCTTAGTAACACTCTGAGGCTCTCAAAATATCAAGAACACACCCTCGAATGATTAATTTTAACCCTAACAAGCTTAAGATAAATACTGGAACTTCACCGGAGTCTCAAGCAACTTTCCAGGACCTCACACGCATCCCCACGCGCCTTCACGCGCCGCCACCTAGCCCTAGACTACTCCCACGCGCCTCCACGCGCTTCCCCTTACCGGCAGGCGCGTCCACGCGCCTGCACGCGCCCTCACGCGCCTGAGCCACTCTCGGCGCGTGTTGGCAGCTCCTAATTGGTTGTTGTTTGGTGCTCTTGGTAAGCCGCGATGCACTGGATCCTCTCCCTTAATCAACTACATCTAACCATTGACGCCGCATGTGTATCAACTTACAATGGACCGCATCACACCAGATCAATCCAACTAAATTAAATTAATCCTATGGCCTAGATCAACGAGTGCACCCTTTTCCTACGTACGCGACCACACTGGATAAAAATCCTATTGATGCGCAAATACTAGCCGCCTCCAGTGTGTTTGTTAAACAATTTAATATATATATATATATATATAAAACAATTTCTAAATTAAAATTAAAAATATAAATTAATTTCAGAAATTGTTCAGAAATCTCAGAAAAATCCCAAAAGCTCTATTTATTATTTTGGGCATAAATGAACATATACAATTAAATTAAAATCCATTTAATTTAATTAATCGTGCTACACAAGGTTAACGCAAAATATAAAAATTTTAGCAAAAATAAAATTTAATTAACCTAACCGAACATACAAGATCTAAATTATCAGAACAATGCATACATATATTCACATGTTTAATTCTATAATTTTGTAAAGAATAAATATGCTCCTCCAATCTGAATAATAATTTAATTTAATTTAATAAAATTATAATTTCGATAATCAAGGTGATAAGTTTATGAGTTCTAAGAGGAGAAGTAGAGAGGAACTCGCCTTTTCTTTTCCAAATCCGGTCTCCTCTTACGTTCTTTGATCCGGCCTCCTCTTCGTTAGCCCTTCTTCTTCTCTCTCTAATTCTCTTATTTTTCTAACGTGGAAAAACTCCTAACCCTAGAGTCTTATGTGTCTATTTATATACATACAAAAACTAAATCCTTTTCCCATTAGGATTATCATATAAAATAAATAATATTTATCTTTTAACTAAATCCTTTTCCCATTAGGATTATCATATAAAATAAATAATATTTATCTTTTAAATAATATATATACATACATATATTTTACTATAAACATATATATATTACCTTCCATATATAACCATTAGTTAAATAAATTATATATACCTATATATATCAATATATAATTATATTGACATATATACCCCTCCACATGATTTAATAATGAATTAATATACACATGTAATTATATAGGTATAATTATGCAAAGATAATTATTAAATATCCTCACAACCACGGGCCTTTACCAATTAACCCAACAAGGCTTCCTTCAAGCCCAATACCACATCCGTTGGACCAACTTCCTTTAATCCCAGTACAAATAACTTAAATACCTAAAATAATGAAATTAAATTTAATAGCTACCAATAATTAACAATAAAGGTACACCAACATAAAATCACGCAAATCAAATAAACACTTCACTAACTAGCATTCCACAAATCAAACACCGTATAAATTTAACAAATAAAATTACAAAATATATAATTTAATTAAAACAATACAATTTACCTACGCACTTAATTAAATAAAACAAATCACAACTATCAAGCACCTAATTAAATAAAACAAATCACTTAAAAATAATCATAATAATATAATATAAATTAATTTAATTAAGAAATCCTTTTTACAATATCGGGTTATTACATTCTTCCCCCCTAATAAAAGGAATTTCGTCCTCGGAATTCACGAATCCATGAAATGAAATTTTGATTATTTGTCCCAAACTTTCATTTTCCCTTATTCCACTGTTTGCCATGTAAGATATTTAATATGTAAATATCTATAATAAAATGCTCACAATTGTGTAAATTACTTAAACACTTAGTGGTGTAATATACTAACAGTCAATGAGTTGTATATATATGTATAAATATATATCACCATCATAAGCCAAAACCATCCAGATACTAATGAACATGATGCACTTATATCTACTAAGTCATTTCTACATCTACCTTGAAATAAAAAAAAAACATACCTCAATTCTTCTGAGGTACCTATGCATTGCAAGGTGTGGCATTGTACACCATACCCTGATGCAACTGCTGTATAGGCTGTCCCTGTGGTGGCGGTGGTGCTGGTAAGGCCGAAAATGTCTGGGCCTGCACACGTGGAATCTGTGGAGTAGGTAATGGTTGCCACTGTCCCTGTTGCCCATGCTGTTTCTGAGCCAACCCAGGACACCGTTTGGCTGAATGCCCATAATCTCCACACTTATAGCAATGACCCCTAAATATACTTGACTGCCCCTCCTGGTGATTACCCTGTAGCTGTCCCAGTCCAGTCTGAGGTGCTCCAGTCTGCTGAGTGGAAACTCCCTCTCTCTGAACTTCTGAATTACCCTTGTGCTTCTTCCAAGGCTGCTGGCCCTGGAATCTGCCCTTGTCATTCTGTCGGTTCCCATTATCCTTCACTTTCGCAGCTGGCTGATTAGCAAAATCTTTGCCACCCCGCTTCTCAGCCCTAGTCTGTCTGAAATCCTCATTCAGTTGATAAAGCTGCAAAGCTGCGTCCACCACTTGAGCATAAGTAGTGTAGGCTGGACTACCAGTAATAGCTCTCTTGATAGACCACATCAGTCCCTTGACAAAACTGTTGCGCTTCTTCTCCTCTGTATCCACCTCCTCCGGTGCAAAGAGAGATAAGCGTGTGAACTGCTGTTCATACTCCGCCACTGTCATGTTCCCTTGCTGCAGATTAAGAAATTCAGTCTTCATGGCTGCCCTAACTGCATAAGGGAAATACTTTTCTTCAAAGCGTGCACTGAACTCATCATAAGTCAATGCCATCCTCTCCACTATGGTGGTAACTGACTCCCACCGCTGCAGTGCATCACCAACTAGCTTGAAGGTAGCAAGCATCTGCTTCTGAACCTCCGTGCACTGAACCAAGCGAAGATGTCGCTCAATGTCCTGTTTCCACTGGTGAGCTGCTCTCGCATCCGTGGAGCCCGTGAACTCAGGTGGACTCCCTTTTGTGAAGGAACTCCTGGCCTTCTCCCAAGTATCAGTTTGAACAACCGGTGCTGGTAACGGTGCCGGCTGTACCTGAGGCTGATTCCGAAGTACAACTGCTACCCCAGCTTCTATAGCCGAGCAATGAGGTCATTGATGTGAGGAGGATACTCTGGATCCCTGCCCTGAGCCGGAGCCTGAACTTCCTCTTGCTCCTCCTGAAGCTGACCCTCATCCTGAAACTCAAGTCGTTGCTGCTCTTCCTCCATTTGCTGACGTTGCAGGTGTTCTTGCTGCCTACGTGCAGCTCTCCTCTGTCGACGGTTCAGATTCTGTCCTCTTCCAGTGTTAACCATGCTGTTAACATAGAACGACAGACATCAGTACGATTTTAACGGACCGTAAAGGAATACAATGTATCCTAAACTTAAGCTCTAAAGAAACGAGTACACAAAGCGGAATTCACATAACGAAAGACACCCTGGGGACACTTGAACCTGGAGTGCTCTGATACCAACTGTAATACCCCCTAATTTCGGAACACGGGTTGATCAAGTCCGCGCACAAAATCAGGGGATATCAAACCAATTAAAGTATTTAAACAAGCACGGATTACAAAATGAAATAAAGAATAAAATAAAACGCTGAAGAAATCCAATTAATAGTAAATCCATTAATAACTTCCAAATGGTTACAACTCGGGAATCCCGTAACTCAAGGACCCCTTAACCAAAAGTTACTATTTAGAATTTCAACCAATTAAGTACTAATATCAACTGAAACAAAACTAATATCCTACTTTTAAGTAAATAGAAGGAATGGATAAGTCCTCCAGCTGCGGATCCTCAACCTTGAGACTTGACCTTCTACAACCTGAAAAATAAATCGCGGGTTAAACCCTACGAGCAAGTTCTCTCTACCAAGCCTCTGAAAACCAATAAACAGATCATCTTTACCAAAACCATCCCTAATTAAGCTTTAACTTTAATATACGATGCTACAAATATATATAAATAGTGCAAGAATCCTACCAGGTAATAGGGCATTAAATTGTCAAAACCACTCACCAATAATTAATTATTAGTCATACCTAGACCAAGCCCCCCCTTTTATAATTTTCTCATAAAGTAAACCCCACTCACCTTAACTCCATCCTAAACAGTAATTTAGTCATCTACACATATAGCAATTTAAATATGCACCGGCAAATCAACCATACCATTTATAAATATATTTATTTATATACTAGCAATTCAACCATGCTTCCTTCAATATATTTACTTTTACAATTAATTAGCAATTCAACCATGCTTCCCATATATGAAATTTATTCATAACCAATAAGGCAGTATATCAAAGCCTTTGGCAACTCATCCATGCCTACAATTCAACCATGTATTAATTTTAAACTTAACTCTAGGTATAATTATACATAGACTTCACATGCATATAGTAAGCATGTCCTTAATTTAATAACCGTGTATCTATTACGATTTTAAATCAACCATACCATACACGAATCAAGTCATACCAAACAAGATTTATAATATTTAATAATCTTAAATAATATATATATACACATATATTTTGTAATATATATATATGTGTGTATCATACATTTCATACCAATCGTTGACTATTTAAAATCATATCTACATATATATACACATATATACACCTCCTTTCATTGCAAAAATATTTAATTAATTATATTTATACCACTAAATGCTACTAGGTATCTTAGTAACACTCTGAGGCTCTCAAAATATCAAGAACACACCCTCGAATGATTAATTTTAACCCTAACAAGCTTAAGATAAATACTGGAACTTCACCGGAGTCTCAAGCAACTTTCCAGGACCTCACACGCATCCCCACGCGCCTTCACGCGCCGCCACCTAGCCCTAGACTACTCCCACGCGCCTCCACGCGCTTCCCCTTACCGGCAGGCGCGTCCACGCGCCTGCACGCGCCCTCACGCGCCTGAGCCACTCTCGGCGCGTGTTGGCAGCTCCTAATTGGTTGTTGTTTGGTGCTCTTGGTAAGCCGCGATGCACTGGATCCTCTCCCTTAATCAACTACATCTAACCATTGACGCCGCATGTGTATCAACTTACAATGGACCGCATCACACCAGATCAATCCAACTAAATTAAATTAATCCTATGGCCTAGATCAACGAGTGCACCCTTTTCCTACGTACGCGACCACACTGGATAAAAATCCTATTGATGCGCAAATACTAGCCGCCTCCAGTGTGTTTGTTAAACAATTTAATATATATATATATATATATAAAACAATTTCTAAATTAAAATTAAAAATATAAATTAATTTCAGAAATTGTTCAGAAATCTCAGAAAAATCCCAAAAGCTCTATTTATTATTTTGGGCATAAATGAACATATACAATTAAATTAAAATCCATTTAATTTAATTAATCGTGCTACACAAGGTTAACGCAAAATATAAAAATTTTAGCAAAAATAAAATTTAATTAACCTAACCTCACATACAAGATCTAAATTATCAGAACAATGCATACATATATTCACATGTTTAATTCTATAATTTTGTAAAGAATAAATATGCTCCTCCAATCTGAATAATAATTTAATTTAATTTAATAAAATTATAATTTCGATAATCAAGGTGATAAGTTTATGAGTTCTAAGAGGAGAAGTAGAGAGGAACTCGCCTTTTCTTTTCCAAATCCGGTCTCCTCTTACGTTCTTTGATCCGGCCTCCTCTTCGTTAGCCCTTCTTCTTCTCTCTCTAATTCTCTTATTTTTCTAACGTGGAAAAACTCCTAACCCTAGAGTCTTATGTGTCTATTTATATACATACAAAAACTAAATCCTTTTCCCATTAGGATTATCATATAAAATAAATAATATTTATCTTTTAACTAAATCCTTTTCCCATTAGGATTATCATATAAAATAAATAATATTTATCTTTTAAATAATATATATACATACATATATTTTACTATAAACATATATATATTACCTTCCATATATAACCATTAGTTAAATAAATTATATATACCTATATATATCAATATATAATTATATTGACATATATACCCCTCCACATGATTTAATAATGAATTAATATACACATGTAATTATATAGGTATAATTATGCAAAGATAATTATTAAATATCCTCACAACCACGGGCCTTTACCAATTAACCCAACAAGGCTTCCTTCAAGCCCAATACCACATCCGTTGGTCCAACTTCCTTTAATCCCAATACAAATAACTTAAATACCTAAAATAATGAAATTAAATTTAATAGCTACCAATAATTAACAATAAAGGTACACCAACATAAAATCACGCAAATCAAATAAACACTTCACTAACTAGCATTCCACAAATCAAACACCGTATAAATTTAACAAATAAAATTACAAAATATATAATTTAATTAAAACAATACAATTTACCTACGCACTTAATTAAATAAAACAAATCACAACTATCAAGCACCTAATTAAATAAAACAAATCACTTAAAAATAATCATAATAATATAATATAAATTAATTTAATTAAGAAATCCTTTTTACAATATCGGGTTATTACATTCTTCCCCCCTAATAAAAGGAATTTCGTCCTCGGAATTCACGAATCCATGAAATGAAATTTTGATTATTTGTCCCAAACTTTCATTTTCCCTTATTCCACTGTTTGCCATGTAAGATATTTAATATGTAAATATCTATAATAAAATGCTCACAATTGTGTAAATTACTTAAACACTTAGTGGTGTAATATACTAACAGTCAATGAGTTGTATATATATGTATAAATATATATCACCATCATAAGCCAAAACCATCCAGATACAAATGAACATGATGCACTTATATCTACTAAGTCATTTCTACATCTACCTTGAAATAAAAAAAAAACATACCTCAATTCTTCTGAGGTACCCATGCATTGCAAGGTGTGGCATTGTACACCATACCCTGATGCAACTGCTGTATAGGCTGTCCCTGTGGTGGCGGTGGTGCTGGTAAGGCCGAAAATGTCTGGGCCTGCACACGTGGAATCTGTGGAGTAGGTAATGGTTGCCACTGTCCCTGTTGCCCATGCTGTTTCTGAGCCAACCCAGGACACCGTTTGGCTGAATGCCCATAATCTCCACACTTATAGCAATGACCCCTAAATATACTTGACTGCCCCTCCTGGTGATTACCCTGTAGCTGTCCCAGTCCAGTCTGAGGTGCTCCAGTCTGCTGAGTGGAAACTCCCTCTCTCTGAACTTCTGAATTACCCTTGTGCTTCTTCCAAGGCTGCTGGCCCCGGAATCTGCCCTTGTCATTCTGTCGGTTCCCATTATCCTTCACTTTCGCAGCTAGCTGATTAGCAAAATCTTTGCCACCCCGCTTCTCAGCCCTAGTCTGTCTGAAATCCTCATTCAGTTGATAAAGCTGCAAAGCTGCGTCCACCACTTGAGCATAAGTAGTGTAGGCTGGACTACCAGTAATAGCTCTCTTGATAGACCACATCAGTCCCTTGACAAAACTGTTGCGCTTCTTCTCCTCTGTATCCACCTCCTCCGGTGCAAAGAGAGATAAGCGTGTGAACTGCTGTTCATACTCCGCCACTGTCATGTTCCCTTGCTGCAGATTAAGAAATTCAGTCTTCATGGCTGCCCTAACTGCATAAGGGAAATACTTTTCTTCAAAGCGTGCACTGAACTCATCATAAGTCAATGCCATCATCTCCACTATGGTGGTAACTGACTCCCACCACTGCAGTGCATCACCAACTAGCTTGAAGGTAGCAAGCATCTGCTTCTGAACCTCCGTGCACTGAACCAAGCGAAGATGTCGCTCAATGTCCTGTTTCCACTGGTGAGCTGCTCTCGCATCCGTGGAGCCCGTGAACTCAGGTGGACTCCCTTTTGTGAAGGAACTCCTGGCCTTCTCCCAAGTATCAGTTTGAACAACCGGTGCTGGTAACGGTGCCGGCTGTACCTGAGGCTGATTCCGAAGTACAACTGCTACCCCAGCTTCTATAGCCGAGCAATGAGGTCATTGATGTGAGGAGGATACTCTGGATCCCTGCCCTGAGCCGGAGCCTGAACTTCCTCTTGCTCCTCCTGAAGCTGACCCTCATCCTGAAACTCAAGTCGTTGCTGCTCTTCCTCCATTTGCTGACGTTGCAGGTGTTCTTGCTGCCTACGTGCAGCTCTCCTCTGTCGACGGTTCAGATTCTGTCCTCTTCCAGTGTTAACCATGCTGTTAACATAGAACGACAGACATCAGTACGATTTTAACGGACCGTAAAGGAATACAATGTATCCTAAACTTAAGCTCTAAAGAAACGAGTACACAAAGCGGAATTCACATAACGAAAGACACCCTGGGGACACTTGAACCTGGAGTGCTCTGATACCAACTGTAATACCCCCTAATTTCAGAACACGGGTTGATCAAGTCCGCGCACAAAATCAGGGGATATCAAACCAATTAAAGTATTTAAACAAGCACGGATTACAAAATGAAATAAAGAATAAAATAAAACGCTGAAGAAATCCAATTAATAGTAAATCCATTAATAACTTCCAAATGGTTACAACTCGGGAATCCCGTAACTCAAGGACCCCTTAACCAAAAGTAACTATTTAGAATTTCAACCAATTAAGTACTAATATCAACTGAAACAAAACTAATATCCTACTTTTAAGTAAATAGAAGAAATGGATAAGTCCTCCAGCTGCGGATCCTCAACCTTGAGACTTGACCTTCTACAACCTGAAAAATAAATCGCGGGTTAAACCCTACGAGCAAGTTCTCTCTACCAAGCCTCTGAAAACCAATAAACAGATCATCTTTACCAAAACCATCCCTAATTAAGCTTTAACTTTAATATACGATGCTACAAATATATATAAATAGTGCAAGAATCCTACCAGGTAATAGGGCATTAAATTGTCAAAACCACTCACCAATAATTAATTATTAGTCATACCTAGACCAAGCCCCCCCTTTTATAATTTTCTCATAAAGTAAACCCCACTCACCTTAACTCCATCCTAAACAGTAATTTAGTCATCTACACATATAGCAATTTAAATATGCACCGGCAAATCAACCATACCATTTATAAATATATTTATTTATATACTAGCAATTCAACCATGCTTCCTTCAATATATTTACTTTTACAATTAATTAGCAATTCAACCATGCTTCCCATATATGAAATTTATTCATAACCAATAAGGCAGTATATCAAAGCCTTTGGCAACTCATCCATGCCTACAATTCAACCATGTATTAATTTTAAACTTAACTCTAGGTATAATTATACATAGACTTCACATGCATATAGTAAGCATGTCCTTAATTTAATAACCGTGTATCTATTACGATTTTAAATCAACCATACCATACACGAATCAAGTCATACCAAACAAGATTTATAATATTTAATAATCTTAAATAATATATATATACACATATATTTTGTAATATATATATATGTGTGTATCATACATTTCATACCAATCGTTGACTATTTAAAATCATATCTACATATATATACACATATATACACCTCCTTTCATTGCAAAAATATTTAATTAATTATATTTATACCACTAAATGCTACTAGGTATCTTAGTAACACTCTGAGGCTCTCAAAATATCAAGAACACACCCTCGAATGATTAATTTTAACCCTAACAAGCTTAAGATAAATACTGGAACTTCACCGGAGTCTCAAGCAACTTTCCAGGACCTCACACGCATCCCCACGCGCCTTCACGCGCCGCCACCTAGCCCTAGACTACTCCCACGCGCCTCCACGCGCTTCCCCTTACCGGCAGGCGCGTCCACGCGCCTGCACGCGCCCTCACGCGCCTGAGCCACTCTCGGCGCGTGTTGGCAGCTCCTAATTGGTTGTTGTTTGGTGCTCTTGGTAAGCCGCGATGCACTGGATCCTCTCCCTTAATCAACTACATCTAACCATTGACGCCGCATGTGTATCAACTTACAATGGACCGCATCACACCAGATCAATCCAACTAAATTAAATTAATCCTATGGCCTAGATCAACGAGTGCACCCTTTTCCTACGTACGCGACCACACTGGATAAAAATCCTATTGATGCGCAAATACTAGCCGCCTCCAGTGTGTTTGTTAAACAATTTAATATATATATATATATATATAAAACAATTTCTAAATTAAAATTAAAAATATAAATTAATTTCAGAAATTGTTCAGAAATCTCAGAAAAATCCCAAAAGCTCTATTTATTATTTTGGGCATAAATGAACATATACAATTAAATTAAAATCCATTTAATTTAATTAATCGTGCTACACAAGGTTAACGCAAAATATAAAAATTTTAGCAAAAATAAAATTTAATTAACCTAACCTCACATACAAGATCTAAATTATCAGAACAATGCATACATATATTCACATGTTTAATTCTATAATTTTGTAAAGAATAAATATGCTCCTCCAATCTGAATAATAATTTAATTTAATTTAATAAAATTATAATTTCGATAATCAAGGTGATAAGTTTATGAGTTCTAAGAGGAGAAGTAGAGAGGAACTCGCCTTTTCTTTTCCAAATCCGGTCTCCTCTTACGTTCTTTGATCCGGCCTCCTCTTCGTTAGCCCTTCTTCTTCTCTCTCTAATTCTCTTATTTTTCTAACGTGGAAAAACTCCTAACCCTAGAGTCTTATGTGTCTATTTATATACATACAAAAACTAAATCCTTTTCCCATTAGGATTATCATATAAAATAAATAATATTTATCTTTTAACTAAATCCTTTTCCCATTAGGATTATCATATAAAATAAATAATATTTATCTTTTAAATAATATATATACATACATATATTTTACTATAAACATATATATATTACCTTCCATATATAACCATTAGTTAAATAAATTATATATACCTATATATATCAATATATAATTATATTGACATATATACCCCTCCACATGATTTAATAATGAATTAATATACACATGTAATTATATAGGTATAATTATGCAAAGATAATTATTAAATATCCTCACAACCACGGGCCTTTACCAATTAACCCAACAAGGCTTCCTTCAAGCCCAATACCACATCCGTTGGTCCAACTTCCTTTAATCCCAATACAAATAACTTAAATACCTAAAATAATGAAATTAAATTTAATAGCTACCAATAATTAACAATAAAGGTACACCAACATAAAATCACGCAAATCAAATAAACACTTCACTAACTAGCATTCCACAAATCAAACACCGTATAAATTTAACAAATAAAATTACAAAATATATAATTTAATTAAAACAATACAATTTACCTACGCACTTAATTAAATAAAACAAATCACAACTATCAAGCACCTAATTAAATAAAACAAATCACTTAAAAATAATCATAATAATATAATATAAATTAATTTAATTAAGAAATCCTTTTTACAATATCGGGGTATTACAGTTTTCAATTCATAATTTAATGAATACAAAATGCCTTGATTTTAATCCAATTAAATTTAGAAAATATCTGGACTTTTAAATGATTCACTAATATTTAATTTGATGCACACTTTAAAAATAATTTTTCGTTTCCCAATAAGTGCACTCTAATTAATTAGTAATCAAATTCAATTAATTTTCATAATTCAATTAATATAAATGAAGTCATTTAGATAAAAATCATAGATCCAATGCATGAATAATGATAATTAATAATTAATTATTCCATACATCAGTTAAATAAATAAATAACAGACAAGAGCAAATAATAAATAAATGACAGATAAAACAAATTAAATGGCCAATGGATTTAGCTTTTAACATTTAATTGCTCTACGTATTACGCGAGGGTCAATTATAGGTTTGTGTACATCTGCAGGTTGCTGTAACCCGACCCCATACACAATCGGACACCATCAGACCCCCTACGCGCCTGCACGCACCAGTGAAGGTTTCCAGCCGTGTACGCGCTGGTGGGGTGTTGCTACGCATGTCACGCACTCCCACGTGCCTGCACGCGCGTGGGGGAGTTGCCAGCACGTTCCACGCGCTGGCACGCGCCATGTGGCGTTGACTTAGTCTCCGGCGCGTGGTCCTCATGCGCCAGTTCATTAGTGGCTCATAGAGCGTATTCTAGCCGTGCTTCATTAGATTATCTCCTCCTTGGATCATTGATCTGACGACTGCTGGTGCGCGCGCATGTAGGGTACACCACACCGAATCAGCCGCCCTTATTCCGACGCTAACCTTGCCGCTGGCGACGCTCCTTATTGTAGATCCCTTAGTAAGATACATTCTCCTTAGATCTCTATCTTCTTGGTAATGGTGTTGCCTTTAGGAATCACTCATAAGCCTCCATGAATGACCTTAGAAAACTAGGCTTGTGGAAGCCTCCATTAGATAAGAACATTGACCCTAAAATTATAGAGAGAGAAAATATATTCATTTTTTTTCCAAAAGTCTCACCTAAAATATATATGGACCCATTTATATATAGGTAACATAAAGATAAGGAAATGAAACAATAAATCCTTCTCAATCTCTAATTCATATATCTTAAATCTAATAGGATTCCAATATCAAATTGGGCTATAAGTGTAATGACCAGGTCTTTTTCCCTTCTTTCTTTTTTCAGAGATTTCTTTTTTCGTCTTTTCCCTATTTCATCTTTTTTCCGTTTATCATTTTTCCTTACATAACCTCACTTGTTGTGTTCGGATTTGATTTCGGTTTTACATACATCCATGATATTTGTTTTCCAGGACATTTGTATTTTTACTTTTGTAGAAAATACATTCTAGTTGCTTACTTTTTCATAAAGGACATGGATGCATACTTTCTAGTAAATATTCTTGATTTTTAGGGTTTTAGTGTAATTATGAAAAATAATTATTTTTCGTCTTAGGAACCATTTTACAATTTAATTTGGAAGATATTTTCAAAAAGAACCTTTTTACAATTTTCGGAAAGTGTAACAAGTGTCACACTCTCACGGTGCCATTTGTTGGCATTGGGGTGGAGTAACTTGAAAGCTTAATTTCTTGACACATGGAGGGTGGAGGTTAACCCATTTGTTGGCCTAGGATTGGACCACTTGTTGGCTTAGATGGTTGACAAGTGTAAGCTTAGGATTAAGCCTATGAAGAAGCCTTGGATTTGTGACAAGTGTAAGCACCAAAATGAGTCTTGCACTATGTGTGTGAGAGAGGTAATATAAGAGCA